CCTCACTTACAGTGTCGCCCCTCACTGACAATGTCACCTCCTAATCGCAATGTCACCTCCTACTCGCAATGTCACCTCTTATTCACAATGTCACCACTTACTCACAATGTCACCACTTACTCACAATGTCACCACTTACTCACAATGTCACCTCTTACTCACAATGTCACCACTTACTCACAATGCGACCATTCGCCTCTCATAATTTGATCTCTTTTTACAGTTACGGGAGTCGTCGATCTATGCTTTGAAAACATTATCACAGTCAGTCGACACGCCAGAAGCAATTTCCCAGGTGGCCAGTGCGCTTTTCTTTGTGACGTCACTTCCAGGGGAACTTACCACTGACAGCCAGGTTAGATAACCGACATCACTAATCTTAGACATTTTACTAAATAAAGTCGAACCTTTCAGCAATAAAATTATATATTCTTATGATAATATGTTTTTAGATGAATATAGGAATGGCCGTTCAAGATTTATCCTCGAATTTGGCAGGGATGAAGAATGAGTCAGAGGCTGGTATCCTAGCAACCGCTAAAGGTGAATGGAATAGAACAATCGAATTTCAGATATGCTTGAACAGTGATAAGTGCTTCCCTACATTACATTACTACGCTAATCCACTTAATATTGTGTTTATTTGACAGCAATAACTGATTGTGTTGGAAATGTAATGTTAATTCCCTTCGGAGACGACAATGCATTTTTGCAGGTTAGTATTCCAATTATACAATCCGTAGTTGGATAAACACATACATAGCGTTTTAAAAGTTGACAACTCACTTCAAAAGTATGTCAACAATATTTACATGTTTATAATAAACCTAAAAAAATGAATGTGTCGTGATTAATTTCTCTAAGACCACGTTATTTTGATTTATCATTATTGTACAGATAATTCCCTCTAAAATTTGTTTTTCCCGTTTTTTCCACAGCGTTCGTTTATTGCAGTGAGTGTGGCTAACACATTAAACTCCATTTCAAAAGTTGTTCTCAGCAGACGAGTCCCCGGTCAACCGCCCGTCGTCTTTAGCACCCCGTCGCTGTCATTGCGGCTACAACGCGATGCACCGATCGATATTACGGGGTCGACTTTAGTGTCGGACAGTGGCGCGTTTCATCTGCCACAGGGACAGAATATATTTGGTGACAGCGTATTTGGAAGATTCATTGATACAAAGGTATTGTAATCTATGCAATTAAAGCGGGGGTGTCGTTACCTGTGCATGCGTCAGATGGCCATAGCGTGCACAGTCCGCTGGCGCACTCGTGATAATAAAATAGTTACGATATTTACTATGGGGGCCGCCATCTTGAATGACGCATAAAACTTTAGTTTTAGATAGCGGCCCCCATATAGTAAATATCGTATTTATTTTATTATCACGTGTGCGCCAGCTGACTGTGATAGCTTTACAAACAAGCGTCTATCCATGAGCCTTTGCGTTTTTTAGCGTGTGTTATCATCGCTCAGGACTCAATTCCCGCGCGTGCGCAGATGACGACCCTCCCGCTAAACTAAATAAATTAAAACGTGTTCGTCTTGTGGTCGCCACGGTCACCGCGTTGCGTACAATTTTAGTGGAAAGGCGTGAGACCCACTTCGAATACAACAGAGTGCGATGACTGTGGCGAGCGAATTCAAGTTCGTAATAATAATTTCGTAACATTGCAATATAACATAATTCACTTTTTCCTTTTCACTAGTTTGTATCTTTCAAAGACAACCCGTTCAAGTGGGGGAACTCGTCCGTGACCGTCATGTCTGATGTTATTTCGTTGTCGTTTATGGACCAATTTGGTAATGAAATCGAAGGTCAGTGATGCGAGACTTGTTATTCATACTCATAGTTCACAGTCGATTTTCACCTTTGTAGATCTTAGGATGAAAATTGTGACCACTTTATCGTGCTTTTCAGTTGATGGAGTGGAAGATGGAATTTTAATCGATCTATCTCGACAAGTCGTTCTACCGGAACCATACACAGTCAACGATACCGTCGCTGACGATAATGGTGGATTGCAGAAATACCATGTATATGTAAGCAACGCTTTATAAATATAGTAACGTTATTAGTAGCTGTCTGATGATCGTCCAAACGGAAAATTCCAAACATTGTGACTTGTTCAGTTTGTTTTTCCCTAGTTGCCGTGGCCGGATGTAGCTCTGCATATTATTCTGCGTGCCGTCGATAGTGACGACGATGACGAAGTCGGCATTAACGCTACCCTGTACTTCAACGCCAATGAATCCCCGACGAAGGCCATACACAATTATACCGGAACTCTGCCGAATTTGGAATATGACTCCGACGCAGACATCGATGATGTAACCAGGAATGAGTTGAGAAACACGTTTTTCGTGCCGAGTGACGTCATAAACCTGCCTGGGTACTATTTCATCGCAATTGACACAAACTCTAGTATGTTCCGTCTTTTCACTTTTATGTTTTCGTATAATAGATGTTCGAAAGTAAAAAAATATTTACGACTGTACGCACTCTTTTTGTTCATCTTCCGTGTACTGTAGGTGGCAACGATTTCACGATGCAAATATTCACCTCTGGGTGCAAATATTGGGATGAAGACCACGAAGAATGGAAAGGAGATGGATGCAAGGTAAGAATGATGTACCGACTGAATCAATATCCGGTATAAAATACAAACTTAGAGTTAGTGACTGACCACGCTCGTATAGTTACCCATTAACTATTTCGTACAATTTGCGGGAAAGGTCCCATCTGATAAAAATAATAAAACTAGTGGGATACCCGAACTTGTTTCCATAGAAATAGTAAAGTTAATCCTCACGTCCATTTACATTGAAAATAATATCAAAACATATATAGTTTAGGTTCATAATTCAAAGGTCGCTAACCCGAAGAATTTTTTCTGACTTTCAAACAAGAAGTTCGTGTGCCAAAAGTGTGTTGGTTGCGTCCATTTCTATAAAGGGCGGTGTACCGCGGATGTTCGAGATTTGTAATGATAGACATTGATTTTCCCTCCATCCAATGCGCTCTTTCAATGGCAAGCATGGAGAAAGTATTGACCTAAAGTTATATGCCACGGAATTGCGTCGATAAACATATTGGTAACGTTTCTGTGACGTGTGCAACTCACTCTTCGTAACTCGAACAATTCGGCATTGTACTATGCGGATCTCCATCAGATTTGTTATTTTCTGACTCCTGTCTATTATCATCACGTGCGTTCCTGCAATCTGCTAGTATTTATTTATATAGTGATGCATGGAAAGTTTGCATTGCAATTTTGTTTTGTTTCTGTTTCAGGTCAGACCAAAATCCAATTCCATCACTACTCACTGCGTATGCTCACATCTTACTGCATTCGGATCGGATTTCTTCGTCCCCCCCAACGTCATTCATTTCGACACTGTATTCGACAAGTTTAGTGACCTGTCTAATAATGTATCAGTATTCACCACAGTAATTATCGTGTTTATCATCTATATACTTGCCGTTATGTGGGCCAGAAGACAGGATAAGAAAGATATTAACAAGGTGAGCTGAAATGAGCACCATAATGTCCGATCACAGATAGCAGTGTTCTAATTCTACAAATGATGCCAGTGGAGTGCTCCAAAAGTCCAGGGGAAGCACTCGCGTCGGATTACTCACAATGTTAACTCCTATCAAAAGGCCATTTATAATTTTCTTCAATTTGACCTGAAACTAATTTCCGACAAATTGATCTTGCAATAAATCGACACCCTAACTCTGTCACGAGCACCTCTTTTCTTTGTGTTCGCGAATAATGTTTGTAACCAGGTGAAATGACTGTTGAAATGACAAACAATGCAAATTATAAACAAAATGATCGTTGTTGCTGTTTTATTTTCAGTGGAGCGTCATACCATTGGCTGATAACAACCCGCGTGATAAATATATGTATCAAATGACGGTATACACTGGGATAAGGACAGGCTCTGGTACCAAGTCTGGCGTATTTCTCACTTTGAAAGGAACACGTGGTAAAACTAGAATACGAACACTTTCTGGCCTCAAACAACCGGTAAGTATAGCGAAAGAGAATCACACAAGTAATCAATACATACTGCAAATTAAAGATGATATATATATATATATCTTTGAAAAAATATTCGGACAATTTTCACAGAAGAATGTTATTTAACTGTGCCATGGGACAAAAACTCCAGGATTGTACGTGATAAAACAGTGAACATTGTCATGCGATTTATGACAATTTTTTCCAAAACATTATGAGTAGGCTTCTTGCAGTCAGCGTCATAACTTTGCCACGATGTACATCATGAACTCAGAGGGCGTAACTCGCGCTTTGTGTATCAGATTAGTACACGCTACAGATTTATTCACAATAATTAACAGGTGTGATGAAATGACGTTTTTTTTTTACAATTTTTTAGGTGTTCCAGCGTGGTAGTGTTTGTAATTTCTTGCTAACTGTACCGAGGTCTTTGGGCGATTTGGAAACTCTCCGTATTTGGCATAATAATAACGGGAAAGCACAACATGCATCATGGTATCTGAATAAAATTGTTGTCCACGATGTGCATACACAAGACAAGTAAGTACGACCAACGGTGTTTACTGTAAGTCATATGCACGTGACTTCACGTCACGCGTTATGTGGCTGCACGTCATATATGTTACGACTACGTCACATGCATGTGACTGTACCTCACGCATGTGGTTTTACGTCGTATGTATATTATGACTACGTGGGATACAGGTGGCTGTACGTCATATGTATTACGACTTCGTCACTTGCAATGTGGTTATATGTCACATGTATATGTTGTTTATCGCATGTATATTAATTTACGTCACATTCTGTATGACTATATGTCATGTGAATGTACGACACGTGCCACAGCTTGACAAAAATACCATTTGTTCAGAACTTTTTTTTCTTAGATGCCTAAACTCGTATTATTAGTAACAGTAAACATTCGTCTTCGTTGTCTTTTTTTCAACAGCTTCGTATTTCTTTGCGATCGATGGTTGGCGGTAGAAGAGGATGACGGGAGGATTAGACGTCATCTCCGTGTGACAAACGAACGGGAAATGAAGAACTTTAACCACCTGTTCGCATCAAACGCCAGAGCGGAGTTTACCGATGGACATATATGGTTTTCAATCGTTTCCCGCCCAACAAGGAGCCATTTTACTCGTGTCCAGCGACTGTCTTGTTGTCTCTCGTTGCTCTACACGGCGATGATTGCTAATTGCATGTGGTACAAGGCGGAAGGAAGTGATCTGTATCAAAATATTATTGATGTCGGTAGGTTTATCCGGTGTTTGTAGCGATATAGTGAGAGTTCCTTTATTTCAGCAATATATATTCATAATCATCTTCGCGTTTGCGTATTTCTCCCTCGTATGCATTTTAACCTCCTTATTTGCACGATAGTTTGATTTAATATTGTTTTACCTTCTATATTTCGTCGCGTTGACGTGTGCACTCGGAGCTAAGGTCCGTGTACTCGGCCATCGTCTCGTTCCTGGAGTACCTAGAGAAGTATGTTAACCTTGCGACTCGGTCGACGAATCATTCTAAGGGCTATATCGATGTACTTAACGTTTTTTTTGTTTTGTTTTTGTTTTAATCCAGGTCCCTTTTCCTTTACTTGGCATTCCATCTACGTCGGGTTCATGAGCAGTTTGGTGGTATTCCCAGTCAATATCGTGTTAATACAGCTATTCCGTAAATCTCGCCCATATACTACTAGGTTGGCCAGTCCACGCATCGACGTGACTCACTCAGACCCTAACGACAATGACCACGATGTAGTGGAGGACGAGGTGTATGCCACGCTGAAAAATAAGAACAGACTATCGTTCGACTCGCGGGATCTGGTTTATGGCACATCGCGGAAATCGCTCAGTTTCCATGGTAGCAACATCCCCAGATATGTCAGCGCAGCGACGGATACGAGAATAGACGAGCGAGAGAAAAAAATGTATTTCGTTAATAATCCAGATCACTCGAGCGAGGATTCCGACGAATCGGCAGATGACGCGGGAAATGAGACACCGGGAAAGAGAAAGCCTGCTAAGAATACCAGCACTCCATTCATGTTGCCACATTGGTGCGTTTACATCGCCTGGTGTTTGGTACTCCTTTCCTCAACAGCGTCGGCGTTCTTCACGATACTGTATAGTATGGAATGGGGAAATGACAAATCTGTCCATTGGCTGGTTTCATTTATTACGTCATTCTTTCAAAGTTTGTTCGTTATTCAACCTATTAAGGTGAGTAACCCATCTTTCTATACATGTAAATATGTTTTCCTAATTATAGTTATATATAAAGCAAGTCGGATTCATTTTTTTCTAATCGCATGAGGTATCTCATAAATTAATGCCATCTCGCTTATAATCTATCAAAATGAAAATTAATTCCAGATGGTACCACATTTTTATATTATTACTTTATTCATGTTTTATAAGTACTAAACTTAAAAGTAATAACGTGCTTCTTTCTTAACAATGAATTATAATGATTTTATTTCCTTGTCAGGTTGTTCTCCTAGCGCTCGTGTTAGCGATTGTTTACAAGACGCCTGATTCGCCACATGAAGCGAATTTAAACGTAGAATTATTGGAAGACATTAAGGTTTTGCAGAAAGCTTCGGATAAAAAAGAAACAGGTAAACATTCAGTAATATAAATTCCAGCAATTCGTGTATTTGTGTATTTTGCTTTGGACGTCGTCCTTTTTTGTTGGTATACATTAATTTTGGTTTATGACAAAGCGTCATTTTTTTGCTGCATTATTAAAGATGCATTATGGACAAAAAACAGATATTGTTGATCGATATTCCATACTGTAGGCCAAATAAAATTCTGATTTATCATAAATTACAACTTACATACGAAAGTATTCGTTAGACGAAAAACAAATTAATATGCGCATGTACGTACCAAGGCAATGCACATAGATATTAGAAAATAATATTGTCTCATTGAAAGAATACTCAAATTTGAGCAACAAATAAGTTTACAGTCCAATGTATCTATCAATATGCAGTATCAAACAACAATGTCGACATGCTGACAAGTAACATGTTGTCGTCCATATTGCATCTTTTTAGTACCCGGTCCTGAGAGACGCTCCTTATTGTTGATTGTACCCAACCAGTGGAGGATTTTGATTGGTTGCACCTACTGTAACATTCGTTACTCATATACTCATAACTCATGTTATATCAATAACGTCATTGGAAAGGTGTACCCCCTTAACCTAACACGTGTACTTTCTTATACACGTTCAACGTGGACGTGTGATATAGTGTCAAAACTGCTTTTTAATACCCTCCAACTACTGAACGTACCAGGCTTATCTATGTCTCTAAAGCTTCACCGATATACTAGTAATTGTTCTTCATTTCCGTATTTCAGAACATGTTAACATCGACCAACACTCTTTTATGCCTCCTGACCCGAAGAAGCTGGAGGAGGCTCGTCGTGAACGGATGAAGGAGCGCCGAATGTGTGCTCTCGCCAAAGATATCGTTATATATTGTTTATTTTTATTAATTATATACATTATAGCGTACAGCAATCGAGATTACAGTTCTCACTATTACCACAAATCAATCGACGACACATTCTTTCAGAATAAATACTTTAGAAATGTAAGTTTTTCCGTTATTACCTCAGCCAAGGAGATTATGTTTTTTTGTTGGCGTTTGTTTTGATTGTATGAATTTGTTTAGAAAAGTATGCTCTTGGCAAATGAACCCATCGATTATATTTTGATATAGATATGCATTGGGTTGCCATGGGAACAACGATTTTAGGAATGATTCTTCATTAGTAACTCAAGAGGTTATGGTTTCTGGATTCGGTTGTCATAAGATATGTTTGCAATATGGCATAGTTATTTAGTTAGAATAAGTACTTTGTATCTGTGGCAGCGGTTTGGTTTCCCTTTTGTTCGGTGACGTGACGTGACGTGACGTGACGTGTTGATGCCCCATGTAGTTAATCTCGAACTACGTAAAGTTATTGGAAAACATTCTTAAAACACATTGGAATAGCCTCGTCCGTTGTTCGTGAATACGACTCAACGTATGAATTAACGGAATCCTAAAGGCTAAAGTGTCAACGATCTCATTGTAAGAATATTCTTTTCTGTTAAATTAGCTACATCTTGAATTAGCGAAATTACATATTTAGCTAAATTGGCTGAACAAAATAAAAATAACACGCTCGCTGAACAGACGTGTTTTGCAGTAGCTCAAATGATGCTTTATTTAAACGCTGAACCCAGAAGACTCGAATCCAAAACTTTTAAAAAGAATACTGTATCCAGTTTTCGTAATCATTAATCACAATATCAGCAGAGAACTGCTCCACTGCATGACTGAATCTATAAATAACCGGGATGTATGTGTTCCAGTCATTTTTGGAAAATACCCTAACAGATAAATGTTTAGAATCAAACTTGATGATTGGATAAGTATATGTTATAGGGAACTTACATTCTTGATGGAGCTAGTTTAAAGCGCGGTGGTCGTCGCGCAGCGTGTGTTCGAATTTCATGTAAATAAACAATGTATTTTACACGCGTTGTATACGTCGCTATGAGTCCCATATCAAACAGGACGCGGCACGACGACTGCCGCTCTTTAACATTGGTTGTTGTTTATTTCTTCGTACCAAGCCTGCCATGTTGAGGCAGAGGTTTCGTATCGGTTTCTACGGTAACAATCGATCTGGTTATTTCCTATAGCTTGAAAGTACTGGATTTGAGGGATTGGGAACATGGGTAACTACTGTGTTGTTACCTCAACTCTATCCAACAGAGATGTATAACGGAGACAGCTTATCTTGGCAACAGAGGAGATTCATCAGCGATTTGTCCAGCTATCGAATCGGCTCACCACGACTGAGGCAGCTCAGAGTACGACCAGGTTCGTGATTTTGAAAATATTATTTCTATTTTGTAAAATTAAATATGTAGTTTATTTTACATTAAAAACGATTCAACATCCCAAACCTGACTCGTCCGACTCGACTTTATTTTTTCTACCAGAAAGCACGTTCATATCTTGATACATTTTTAAAATCACTGCTCTGTGTTTCCGGTATGGCATATTATTCTGAATGTATTGCTTGAAGCATACTGTACAGTAAACCTCAGAGAAGACACGTGTATATTTTGTAATCGACATGGCAACCATGGCAACAAGCCTACTACGCACAATAACCATTAATTATACAATATTGAAACTTTTGACATGCTATACATACTTCCCATTCTTTGTAATGGAGGTTCCATCAAACTCTGATGATGATGCCTTTGCGATACACATGCTTGTTGAATCAATATTAACATCTTTTCAACATAGAGGCAATTGTAGCCTTTCGACTTTAGATGGATAACACATCAAATTTCTGAGGATAAAAAAAAATATTTAAATCAAATGCGTGTTGGCAGTTTTCGTCGAGCAAACTATAATCGTCAATTTACAACCGATGGTTACAGTTCTTACTTCTAAGAAATTAAAATAACACTTTTCATCGCAAGGTATTTCCATCCACATCAGTCAAGAGTTCGGAAAATAACACGACTTGTATACCATTGAAGCTTGATTAATATTGTCGACTATTTTTTGTCCTAATGACAGGTCTATGCACTGTAATGGAACAGTTTTCTTCATTGAATATGACATGCAATCCCGAATATTCTTATCAAAATTATGATTATTCTTCATACAATGAATTCTGGACAGTTTTCAATGACAGTGCGGTCTTCTACGACGAAGTTTGGAACTACCAATCCAGCGATGAGTTAGAATCGTTGCCCTTATATGGAGTTCAGCGTCTGTATTATGGAGGTGGATACGTAGCGGAATTGGGTAAGTACAGTTATCGTACATTGTAATAATACTGAAATGCCCGAATTTGTTTCTCGCGAAATTATTTTGAAGTACAAGGTAATGTTTGTTGATGGTGACCACGATGACGTCATTTTGTTCTGTTCTTACAGGTACAAGCTTAAAAGAGGCTCTTTTTAACTGGAATTATTTGTGGCAATCGAAGTGGTTTGATCGTCATACAAGAGCATTATTTGTAGAATTTTCTCTCTTCAATGCTAACGTTAATCTGTTCAGGTATGTTCATGTCATAAACATATTTCAAGAGTTTCTGCCCATTTTTAAATATGTAGGTCACACATGCAGAATGTAATAATTTTGTGTGGGTTTCTGCTGAAAAGTAACATTTCGATCTACATCGAACGAGCAGGTTTGTTAATGGCCACTTGGTCATTCGCGAGCACGAACAGTTTTCATAGTATTCATCGTAGTTTCTCAATAACTCGAGATAACCGTGGGTATCTGTCTTAAAATAAGGTAGGACCTGTTTAATGTAACCGATTGACATTTTGAGATATGACGAACTCTCTCTTTCTCTAAAAAATAATCATCATTTGGTATGTCATTGTCATTATTCTTACAGCATGGTAACATTGTTAATAGAATTTCCTGCCACTGGGGCTGCTATCGTTTTCCCAAAAAATTCAGTTCTACGATTATATCACCACGTCGGCAGTTTTGGGACCTTCTTCCTTTTCTGTGAAGTCATATTCGTGGGATTTGTTATTTCTTTCCTCTTACGAGAATGTTTTAGAATTAAAGAACAGAAATGGAATTATCTAAAGAATTTTTGGAACCTAACAGAGGTAGGTCAATCTGTAACCCTCATTCCAACATTCCCGCGCAACTTTGTGGTAGGAATCTTTAATGAAGAAAACGTCACAACACTGCATATTCATGATATTTTATTATCAAACATTAATAAGGAACATCGTTCAACTGAAAACGATTATGTGATTTCTTCATGTAGTCAGACCTCGTTTCGTTCACCATTATATTAGTACATTACAGAAACCTTACGAGGGATGGCTTCTTCAGATGTTCAATGAAGTGTGGCATTGATAATAATCTTTTTAACGTACGTTTTGTTTGTTTGTTATTTTTAGATTGTTCGTATTTCCCTGTGCGTGACTGTCATAACGATGTATACATATCAAACCATCTTCTGGGACCTGGCATTGAATAAACTTTCAGGAGACGGTGAGAAATTGTAAAAATAGATGAACTGTTATTTCTGCCGGGGTACACGTAAAATAATTTGCTCACAAAAAAATGGATTGTAGTTATTAGAGTATTAGAGTGATTTTGAAAATTGTCGATAAACAACACCAAATAAGACAAAACAGCAATTTAAAATCAAAATGATACATTAAGACTCGCCAAAAATAGAATTCTCAGTACAGATATTGTTTGAGAAGAATAAAAATGCTGCAATGTGTTAGAATAACCACCCCTGCAGAAATACTGGTATCATCTCTTGAGTAAAACTATATCATATTAAAATCGCATGTATTCATTTATTGTCTTCAGTCTACACGATATTATCTACCGTTTAACGATAAAAGAAAACCTTCCTGTCTACCCCAAAATCTTCACGATTTTAGCTATGTCTGTCATTATGAAAGCAATTTGCATTGTTGTATGAATAATTGCTGTATTCCAGAGACATAGCTTTTATTGATAATTCATCTTAAAATTTCCCGGGCAATGTCGTAAGTAATAGTTGAAAGTTTTAAATCTCTGTCAAAAACTTCGTTTTCAGGAATGCTTGAACCTACGTTAACAAATTTGTGTCTATATCATTTTCGTGCACACATTTAATTATATAAACTTCCAACTGTTTGATAGTGTTAAAACAACCCACATTGTATCCACAGTCAATTTTATTGATCAGCTATTATTCTGGAACATTTCCGATGACGTATTTCATGATTTTTATCCGTAGGACCACAATCGTTTGTCAATCTTCAGCGAGCGGCCGCGTGGGATGAACTATTCGTTTACATACTGTCGGTGATTCTCTTCATCTCCTTCATACGACTTATCAACTTGCTCAGGTTCAATAGTCGCATATCTCTGCTCTCGTTCACGCTGCAACATGCTGCCAAGGACTTCGTCTACTATGGAATCAAATTCTTTGTAGTGATGTGTGCGTACGGACAGGTGTTCTTCATTGTCATCGGCGGTAAAGTTGGCTACTACAAAACGTTCACGTCGACCATCGAAACCCTGCTATCCATATGGCTGGGGGTGTTTGATTACCAGGCCACTTACAACGCCAGTCGTGTACTGGGTCCAATCCTCTTCTTCACGTTCAGTCTGTTCATGTACGCTATATTGACGTCCATGTTCATTAGCATCATTATATGGGCTTTCCTGGACGCTAAGGTGCACTGCGAGAAACTGGGAAATGAGTACGAAATGATGGACTTCTTGACAAGGAATATTGCCGAATTATTAGGGATACACGGTGAGGATGGGGATGATGATGATAAGGAAGGCAATATTGGTAAGGAGTTATTCACTACAGTATTCAAATATTTTATTTTCATAAGATTAAGTTTTTTAATAACTGAAGTTTAATACACTTTTCCCAAATCATGCCCTCTATCAGCGAAGTGATTTATCCTAGGGGGCGGAGCTACGTCACAAGACGTTCCACGTTGCTACGACGGGCACCACTGTACATGCATTTCTATGGGCTCTGTGCGCGCTACCGTGGAGCGCCGGTCGAGCCGATGAAAATTCGAGAAAACAACACAAACTCAACTTTGAAGTAATCCCGAACAACCAAATTTATATATGTTACACACGTAGGGCTAATCTTGTTACACTGTTAAGAGGAGTCTCAACAATCATCCCAAAGTACCGTTTTCTGCGAGTTTTGGGCCTTTGTTTTCACCGCCGCAGGTTGCCAGGCGGTGAAAATGCCCGGATGTCCGACCCCGAGGATAGGTGAAAGGAAGACTATAAAGACATATATATGCTACGTTCATTCAGTTTGTCGTCGTCCGCTAGTAAGAAAATCCCGTCCACGTCCCTACACCGTCGCCATTATTGTCTCCCATCTACGACTTTCCCTGAAGTCGAAGATACAGCTTTTCGCATGCGCGCGCATACCGTTTTGGGGTGTAACCAACCTCCTTCCCATAGGCCTTTGCGCTTTACGCAATAGTGCCTCTGCCACAGGCAGCCTTCAATTGTGTGGTCAATCACCATACTACGCACGGCCATTTTTCCGCAGTTGTTTCATTTGAAACCGAACTACAAAAAGTGGACAAAAACGTATGTGACATCCGAACTATTCATTAATGTCAGACTTCAGTAAAAACGTAAATACGAACCATTTTATCGCGAACTATATTTTGCAAGGTAATGTTATACCGGTAGTAGTGAAACGGCGCACGTGATACACTAAAACTTGGAGGAAAAAACATCCTGTTAACGAATATAGTTGGGAAAGAAACATTAAATACTAATTTCACTGAAAAGGGTTTCCTAACATTTCCGTTCATCTTGTATTCTGCTGAATATTTCAAAACTATTTCTGGCTTGAACGGGTTCGATTTTCCGCGTCTAACTGCCATGGAACACAAAGGTTCTAGTAAATTTATAAAGTTATTTATTTATTGTACAATCTAATGCTTTCTCATCTGGGAAAGGATTGTACGTTTCTAACGCAAGTCATGCATATTTTAATCTAATTAACTGAACATTTTATTCAAAGTCGGGGCGTGAAACGTCTTATTAAAGTGACTAAAGTAACCAAGTGACTTACGCATAACTTTGTTAACCGACAGGGTCTTGTAGTTCGAACATATTCGAATATGTAAATGAGTTCTATGCAAAGCTGCTTTGTGCAGTGATGATAAGTAACGCGCATCGAACTGTGCGGAGTTCGGGGTATAACGTAAACTTGCACGCGTGATTATTGTGCTTCTAAGTTCTAGGCGTACCAATCGACGTCACAAAAATAAAATTCCCTTCTATCGACTATCAATAAACTGACATACTTGTATTTCCCGCAATGACAAAGTATACGTATTTTTGCACCCAATCCTGCTACTTGCGGGAAAGTGGTATATTTACGTCATTATTTGGCATCACGTAAGAACTTCGTCGCGTGAGGGCGCGACTTAAATGAATGGTGTATAAAAGTCCCTGCGGCCAAAGCCAGTTTTTATATGTGCATTGAAAGCATTGTAATGTAACACACATGTCAAGTTATAAAATAAAATATGGTCGTCTTGGGCTCGTATGATGTTATAATACTTGAACGTAATCGCAGCTGTGTTATTGAAAAATGACTGGGCCGATGTCAATAATTTTTTTTTAAGTGATTTGAATCAATATGATTCACTGGAGATCTTTTGTAATGTATAATGTGATAGCAAGAATGAAGTTTCTTCACATTTGCGTCTAGTTTTGTCATCCGATACAGTTTGGCCAATTGGAAATCATATATGATCAAAAATTTTTACAAAATATGGTTTGTCTTTTATTTACTCCTCTTATGTATTGTACCGTTCTCCTTCGCCGCCTGTTTACAGAATGGAATAGTCCGCTTGCCAATGACCGTTATCAATAATAGTGATTAAAGTATCAGTGTACATTGTCAATTTACCGAATACATATTATTTATTTATCATTTGTAAACGGATCATTCCATTCTGTAAACATGATGCGAAGGAAATTGGCAAGAAGTCCACTATGCAGGAGGTGGTATTGTAAAAGACAAACTTTTGATATATTTTTTAATACAAATAATACATTATTCTCACCTCCTTTGGTGTCTCCGTAATGCGATGGCGATGGTGTTGAATGCTAGTTCTCCGCTGGATACATTTCCCGATAACAATATATGGCCGACTGACACCCATTTCAACATAACCATTTTCTCAGATGACTGGTCCAATTGAATTTGAACTTGGAGATGATGGTCATGTATGTTGACGTATAGACGCTTACTATTATCATCATCCCAGGCGGGATTCAATTAATTTCGGTTGAATGGTGGTTTATTGATAACAAGGTCATACTAGTAGTAATTAGCACGATGTCAAATAGCGTTTGAGAGACATCATTTAATTTTAAAATTATCTCAATCACGCCAGAGTCAAATAATTTCAAATAAAATGCGTGACGATGACTGTCATTAACTTATTATTCGCTTAATTGTGTACTTATAGCCGAAAAAATAAATAATGCCTGCGAAGACAATAAAGTTAAACCTAAGACGAAGACAGCAGAGTACACCGAAGTCAACGAAAAACAGAAAGCCGGAACAACAAATAGTAGTTCTAAACCGAGGAGAAAAAGTATGCCGCGATGTTTACTAGAATCGAAACATCTGGATGACTTGGAGGAGAGAGTTATGAGAATGGATGAATGTTTAAATGGTTTTAAATCAATCTTAACATGGTAGGTATAGAAACGTGTTTTTCTTTTTCTATTTCAGTATTCCCGCCACAGCAATGTCTTCTGGGTATCGCAATGTCCCCTGGGTAGTAAAAAAAACCTTCCGTCGAAGTTACTTATTTGGTTTATCGTTTGTTGGACTATAAATTTCTAGTGATGTGTTCTTTCTTCATGATGGATTGTGCTTTCAGAATCTTAATTACTGTCGAGTCTTACTATATGAGCGCGTTATCACCTGCTTCCTGTATGTCAGATTTCTCTGCATGTCTGCTTCCACACAGTTATATATAGGTAGCGTCTTGTATATAATTTCGTTCACTCGGCGCATCACAGGCATTCCCTTCCTTTTTAGAAAAAAAATATTAATTTCATTGAAAGTTGTTTCCAACCAGCCAATCAACGAGCACAGTGCGAACGACGTCATTTGAAAACGTTTGAAAATGTTATTCAATTGGCCAATAGAAACCCCTTGTTTCAGTTTAAATTGTGAAAATTATAAATATTTATGATGATGAAGGAATCCATTTGTTACGACAAGAGTATGATTTGATAATAAATGATAGTTGACCGTGTTTAATTTTGTTAAAACGATTATTTACGAGTAAAATGACCTGATTAATTATAGCTTTTGTGCAAAAAGCTCTCTTCCATGTCTTACATACACATTATATAGTTTAAATCTTACCGCTTTGCTGCGTCTTTGCCACCAATAATTATTGTACGGATATTTCCTGATTGCAGATGAGATTTTCGAATACGATCACATCCATTTCATTAAAAAGTGCCCCCTTATGTCACACATCACTGACTAGTAGAACTTAATAGACAGCATCGTAGAAATCCGATAAAAAAGAAAATGAATAATTCTAGTGATGGTTCCAAATTCCGTTACGTGTGACCGGTTTACAAATAATACGCAGCGGTAGCGGCTTTCGATATTATATTATGGCATAGTTCAAACCTTAAAATTACAAACTAGCTGTGTCGCCGATACATATTACTAAACCAATAACCTTTCGTAAGATATGTGTGCGAAACATTTAGTTATGATGAGTTCATTTTCATGCAATATACACCCAATCCTGACGCGTGAATAACAATGTGAAAACAAATCATGGAATAATTGTGCCGATATATGTATTTGTAAATAGAAACGTCACAATTTGGTCGCGAACAACACTGGTTTGATGGAAACATAAACTCTCCAAGCGCGCAGGGGATTTGAATTACTGTTACGTACTTAGAACTCAACGGAGCATACGCATTCGTGTCATTATTTTGTTTCTTCGAAGGATGGCCACTGTGAGCTGCAGGCGATTAATCATAACCCAATGTGTGTATATAATATCGAGCATAAATTATAAAACTATACTCAATATTATCCACGCTGCGTCTTTAACGGTGAGATGGGAGCGAGACTAAAGTATATACCAAGAAAAGATACGACCAGAAAGTTTTATAAACGTCAACATTGCTATTGTGAGTGCAGTTCATTATCTGTATCGTCGGAATGTCATTTCTCTATTTTTCTGACACAGGGAAGATTATATTGAGAAGAAAATGGTGGACTATATGAATTTCAAAACACACCTATCATCTGATAGGGAGGAATCCATCCAAGAAGTGATAGTTTACGTCGACGATAACGAAGAGGAAGAAGACACACAAGACGACACAGCGGTTAATCCCAGGGTAGGGGTCTGCGAGCTATGTAAAACTAGACTGTCCACAAACGGCATCGAATCACACTTGATGCTACAGTGTGCATCCATCCAACCATTCCGAACAGAAATGCTTCGCAATATGATTGAGGTGATTGAAGATATTCCAGTCACGCGCTTAAGGGATAAGGCCTTATCATGGTGGCAGTTTTACAGAGAAAACTGCCGACACATCGACCTGACGTACACTCATAATCAGAACAAGGCACTTCGAATCGGACGAGATAGTATGAGGAGTTTTGACCTGCCTCTCCGCATACAAAGACGACTTTCGCGCGTGGTCGCAGTGTATCTCGAACGCGCCCTCGAGGAACCGTGGTGCAGGCTCAAAGAAAAAAGTGAACGTTTTAATCTTTATGATTTTGTTGTATAATAGAGAAAAAAAAATGTAATATACTCCCTCGAATCATGGTTGCCTTGTTTCAAAGGCGCCAATTACTGCTTCATATAAAAAGGGTGCATTATATGTTTGTTTTTTTCTGAAACGCACAAAGTATACTAATTGCGTGACTATCAATCTATTTGTTTCGAAAATGAGTCTCTAATCATGCCTTTGAGAAGCATCGTCTTGAACTTGAAATAGATCGAATGAGTGATAATGAGGATCGATTCTGGACTTGTAATAAGCCTAATTGTAATGAGATTTTTTTCCAAGGTGACATCAATCCGCTTTGTATTAAAACTCTGCAAAGTACATTGTTCAAGTGAAACGTCTCATCTCATTTCACTCAAAGTCACTGGTGTAATTACCTCCAGCTGCTTTGTTTTTTGTTCATCCTTGCTTCCGAAAAATAGGAGCGAGGCCTATATAAAACAGACCAAGGCAGCGGGGCATGGTGTACTATACGGGTACACAGATCAACATTTGCATAATAACGGTTAAAGTAAACCGTTCAATATTTTAGCAATGACGTGCTAATATGTACATTTCTTTATCTCAGACATTATATGATGTTTTCTAATTGTTATGAATATTTGTTATGTTTTGGGATTAAAAAAAAATGCTATTTTCAATTTCTACCTAAAAGTCGCTGTTCAATTTTTGTTTGATATTTAATGTGTAGATACTTGCGTTTGATTGACTCTATTCTGGTTACGACGTCTGTTATTAATGTTGTATCAACATTGGATGTGACGACTTCGAACATGTTAAGACGTCACAATGACATCCTTTCGATAATTGGATGTTGTCAATTTGACGAGGAAATTTGACGTTGTATTGATATTGTCTATATGACGTAGGGGTACCTGCTTGGAGGTTGTGAATGAGTAAACAGTCTACCTGTGTATCCATACGCCGATTGAACTGTCAGCAGAACTCGTTACACATGAATCATAATGCGAGATCGAAAGATCGACGTATGATAAGATGCACATCGTATCCTTCCTTGAAATACCAGTGCACTGTTGGTCAGTGTTTCCCAGTTTCATCGATAATGTTGAATCCACGACGATGATTGATTGGCCTATCTCTCAAACACTTTTATATCAAGAGTCAGTTATGGATACATTTTGTTATTTTTAGAAATTTATTTCCACGTTTAAACTGGGTGTAAGGTTACCATGATCTAAAATCGGCCTGATGTAGAACGTACCCATAATTCAAAGTGCACGCGCATTTGCAAGGTCGAGCATGACATCAAAAGAATACTATAGTGTTCGATATGGGGTCCTGTGACGTACTTCAACGCCGTGTCAAATACATTGTTCGGTTACATGAATGACGACCGTATGCTTCACTATGGCGCTTCAAAGACTGATGGTGGTCGAGGTGGCGGATACGGATTCCATCGCGACGCATACGATGCGTATAAAATACACCAAATTTGAACACGTGCTGCATTCGATCACCGTCTTTTAACACTAAAATATATACAGGTATACCGCCTCTTCAATAAAGCGGTACAAGAACATAACTCAATTTGTGCATCGAGATTGTGTCTGAGTCTGTGTAATTGCATTTCACCCCAAGCTTAACTCAACCTCAACCTCAACCTCAACCAAGCGGTCTTATGATTATAACGGACATCGACCTCTTTTTAGCTTAGTCTAAACCAGGGTCTAAACATTGAGATAGAAATCGTCGACGACGTTCAATTAGCATATCAATGCAAATAAGACTGTTAGTACCATTGAAAAGTGAATAATATTAGTCATGAGTGATAATCACGCTGATTCATATGCAAATAAGACATATGACGACACGCCCTGTGTGGTATGGTTCATCCTGCGATATCACGCGTTATTGATAAATTATGTGCATTATATCATAGACCCTCAAGGATCTATGATTTTATTAAGTCATATCCTAATTTTCAAAGAAAAGTCTCGCCATGCAATCATACTGAAAGCTAGTAACTCTCATTTAATACTAAGATGTAAGAGCAACACAACAGGTGTCCTCGCCCTCTAGGAATTGCCTATAAACATACCGACCTTGTGTCTTGAGTACGATGAATGAGTATTTGGATAACATATAATAAAACACTTCGCTTCTGTTTATTGGCGATGTCAAATAGTAAATTCGGATTCGTGCCATTTACAACATTCTAAGCTAAAAACAGTAGTCATTTGTTGCCGTCCTCCTGGTAATTAAACAATTCTGGTTTGCATTTGTGATAATATTCGTATAATATTAGTCGTCTCGCCAATGTTTGTTAATTTACTCATGAATTATGAAGTTATCAATTAACCCAATTACACGAAACCAAAGAAATACAGTTTGTTGATACAAAGTCTGCAACTACTGTTTGTGTATGCTTCTTTTGAATGGAAAAATTCCCAACGAAACAAACACATGCTTTTAGATACGGTCAACAAAACAATGAATTTCACATTACTCAGTATACATTTTATGCAAAAGAAAAAAAACGGGAATCGCGATTTTTTATATTACAAAATTGAATGCCAACATAAAACTAAATAAAAAATATGTGGCCAGGGAGGAAAACAAACTTGGATTATACGGGCTTCGTATATTTAGAGAAATTATGCTAAAACTGCAGTTCCTTTAACCAAAACGCACAAAGAGCTACCACACACTACACACGGTGTACTAGAATATATATATAAAAGTTTCTTTCGTTTTATTGCCAGGTTATCTTAAAGACGGAATATAATTTTAAACTACGTCCTCGCGGATATAATTACAGCGTTCACGTCAATTGCTCAATGTACTTTTCACCCAACGGGCAACACGTACCGGCATTCATTATATTCGAGCCGTATTTCAAGGCAGCTCTTCGTGATTGTAGTGCGCTTCGTCGAGCCTGGAGAAAGACAGCAAAGTTCCACACCCGTCATCGCCTTTAGCATAATTGTACATCGTCGCATTCGATTCAATTCACATAATATGCTATATCCGAATTTTTACTGATCGATCGAAAAGCCTGGCGTTTTGAAAAGGCATTGTACTGATCTAGACTCAGTATAGATAGTATGTTTGATTGAATCTACTGCTAGTATTGTGAGGGTGGCGCAGATATTTGCATACACATGATCATGACGTAACTGAGCGGCAGGATTTGCCTTTGATTGATTATCACTATGCTGTGGAATGTACAAGACATCAGAAATCCGCTGATGTCTGACGGGTCTTTAAACCCTGTAAATTACCTTATCTCGTATCTCGATGCTAATAAGGTTATTGCATTGATGGGTTCCCAAGCATCTTGTGTGTCGTAATAAAGCAAATCCGACCAATCTATAAATATCAGTTTTTCAATGAAAGAGATATCAGAAGATGGACCCCGTTTTTTTGTTTGATGTTATTTTAGCAGCATAATCAATTGATACCGGGTAATCTAGATTCATTCTCCCGAGATGGAACCTCGCTATCTTTGTTTTGATCTCTGTTTATTGTCGACATAATGGGATCGTTGGTTATTCAATGCAAAGCATTCACTTGAGACGACGTCCCCAGGGAAGTGTTGTTTTGTACATTTAAATCTACAAAGACGATTCTAAATTAAATCAGTGCGTACCTTCTACCCCAAATAAATCTAGCACACGGCACGGGGGATTAGACCAAAGGAACACATCGAACGAATTGCCTGTTCCACCCGCTTTATTGTGAGTCTCTGTTGCGGTGAGGATGGAATACAATAAAACACATTACACGGAAACTTGTTCTTAATTCAATCAACCAGATACAAGCAATTAATAAATATAAAGCTTTGTTGACGATCAAAAGTGCATGGCAAACTGTCGGTGCTCATGGGAGTTTCTCCCTACTCTTACCTTTTACACCCAACTTAGGGGGCACGCATTGCTTGAGACACTCGTAAAATAAAGTAGTGGATGTCGCCCGCGCTAGTCACTTTATCGTCACCATCTAAAGTGGATTTCGGCGAGGTATTTTTAAATGGGTGTTCTCTTTGCGATATTTGGCAATATTTTTTTACTGCGTGTTAAAAGAAGTATTTGTTAATGATTTGATGAAAATGTCACTATGCGGAGAGGCTGCAGATAAGAGGAGATGGGATAAACAGAATTATATGCTGACTCCGTCCCTTGGGAGTGTATTTGGAGTGTCAAGTAAATAGGAAGTACGATGTATACAGGTATCGATAGGCTGTGGATGGAGCTAGTTTCAGTGGAGCGCCGGTGAATGGCACATAAGTAACGGAGTTCGTAGTTTACAATTCGCCTCGCAATTCTCGCCCGTTGTCAACCGTGGTTTCGCAATCGATGACGAACGGCAACTTTACGTCGGTCAATCAATCGGACACGATGTACGCAGCAATCACGGCAGCTGCTGAGCCGACCTCGACAATCGGTAATATGTTTCTTGCTAGCCTTTTAAACAGACTTAGCGAATCATCACCAATCGTTCCTACCGCAACCCCCACTACCGCCGACACCGCGGCCGCCAACATATTCGATATTTTCAACGTGACCAAAGGGCCATCGATAGTACCGAGAGATTCCATGGTTCATCAGTACTGGATCGACTCAAGCGTACACCGATATGCCAATGCTGCTATATACTTTAATTTATCGTTCGTCGAGAACAACAATACTGTATACGACAACTACTCATCTGAAGATGTGACGGACGATCTTTCATTTCCGTACCTATTCTCCGTTTCTGTTAGTATCTTGATTTATTTATCATCGGTGTTGGCAAGCTTTCTCACCTTCTTCGGCAATTTATTGGTGCTTATCTCAGTGAAAACCAACCGCAACTTGCAAACAATAACAAACATTTTTCTTGTGAGTTTGGCGATCTCCGACATGGTAGTCGGTATGTTCTCCATACCGCTCTACACTATCTTTATAACGTTCGGTTATTGGCCATTTGCCTCGTGGGTCTGTGATCTGTGGCTGACAGTAGACTATGCGTTATGCACAACTTCTATGTGGAACATCGTCATTATCAGTATAGATCGTTTTCTTTCCGTGACACGCCCGATGAGCTATCGATGTAACCGCACAGCACGTCGAGCGTTGCTAATGATATTACCAGTATGGATCCTGCCTTTAATAGCCTGGGGTCTGGCTATTATTGGATATCCGTTTTTTATTGGCGAGAGAACGCTTCCATCTACCGATTGCCAACTGCCGTTTATTATGAACCCGTTATTGAATTCCACCATCGCTATTACTGTGTATTCCGTGCCGACTGTCGTCATGGTGATCGTCTACGCCCGAATCTACAAGGAAACGTCTCGATTTAATGTCCGTAAAGTAAAGTCGCGCGATATTTTGAGTACGAACACCACGACCACGCCACTAAATTCGTGCGCCAGTACACCACGTAATGCCAATCAGGATTTAAGGACATTTCCTTCGCGATTCAGATTCAAAGAAATGAGTAAAGAAGGTAGGCGTTTATTGAAAGAAACGAGAGAATCACAACAGACCAGTTTTAACCAGCGGTCTAATATACCAGAGATTAGCGTGATGAGCGAAAACGTTGACGACGAAGGCGAAGACGCGCCGATACGCGGTACGTTAAAAGACTTTAAACGAAGACGCGCCGCTAAACAGAGCGTTTCTGATTCAATCAACTTGGGAAAGAAAAAAAGGAACAGCAGTGGCGTTACGATGTCGTCAAATCTAACGGTCCCACACAAAATGCACAGACAGCGGTCCTTCATTTGTTCCTCGACTGGACAGCAAGGCCGTTCCCCTGGCGGCAGCTTTCGCGGGTGTAAAACTCGTTCGCAGTCAATGGGTTCGTTGTCGCGCTTACAACTAGCAATGGTACAGAGAGGATGCAAACTGCCAACTACGGGAGTTGCTAATATTCCAAACAGAATGTCCACTATTAACAGGGACCGCAAAGCGTTGAAAACACTAGGCGTAATTATAGGTTCGTTTTTATTGTTCTGGACTCCGTACCATGTACTTGTAGTCTGGTTGGGTATCTGCACCAAGTGCGTAGACTCAGGTGTATACGCATTCAGCTACTACCTCTGCTACCTGAACAGCACGTTTAACCCCTGGATCTATGCTTTCTGTAATAAAACCTTTAAAGAAACCTACATTCGCATCGTGCTGTGCAGGAAAAGGCGTCACCAGGATCCGTATGACAGACACTCTAGCTTCAGGATGGCGGAAGAAGACAATTCACATTTTTAATTCGAACGTGGCTATGGCACAGACAGTAATCAGTCACATCATAACCTTGGGCGATTTAAAAATTGGATCAATAAGCAATACTGTACGCACGATTCTTATATAAAGTTATTATGGACCATCTAAAATAGAATACTGCTATCACATAATGTCTTCTCTCTTATTTTCGTTCCACGTTTTTTTAATGAAAAACGAAATAAAAGCGATATTTTGATCTTAATGAAAATTAACCTGATTTCGAATATCTATAAAATCAGATTGAATGGGGGATTATAAATGATGAGAAACGATCCACAAAACTGTTGATAAAAACCCAATTAATATAAGAATTGTTATTTGTAGCGTCGGCGTCTTCACTGTGGGAAAGCTACACGAGGCATTAATATCGAGAACAGATTGCATTTTAAATTACATTTGATCGGAGCCAATGAATATATTCATACTGTTTACAAGAACGCTTGCGCAGAGGTAAATGAATGAATTGCTATCGTCTCATTTGGAAATCTCCCAAACGTTACGTTACGTTAACAATTGGACACCGTGTAAGCAATATGGATGGGAACGTGTAATTTTTTAATATCGCTCTTGAATCTATACGTTGATTAAAGCATTAGATTCTGATTTATCATGTTCTAAAAACGTTGTTCTAGCGCTACACAACTCGGCAATCATTATACGAAACACTGATATTTTCTAATACGCATGCGCACTGATTATTTGGTACGTACAATAACTTAACAATCTCACTGCACATGCATATTAGAATTTTCATTGAAAGAATAGTGTTGAGTTCGCAATAAACCATACCATGCTTTGATCATCAACAAAAACCACAAATGTTGTAGCTTTGACTAGTTATAGTGAAGTCAGTTATAACTGATACAGTATAAACGGAAAGTAGCGTATTTCGGTTTGTTTGATAACGATTTAAATCAGAAGTTAATGCCGGTGCCGATTTCGCATATACAATAAAAACCAATGCGTGGTCAAGTCAGAGGGGTAATTTTTTTAGTTGGCACAAACACCGGACTTAACTTCTTTAACCTAATATAAGTTTCAGTATCAAACCAGAAATATTTTTTTTAATCAAGTAATGGCCACTCGAGCTTTTCCATGGCAGTCATTCGATCAATGAATGTAGGAATTGATTATCGTGAAGGCTATAAATAAATACGACGTGTCATATTGCAAACTGCTGTTTATTTCTATCTCCAGTATGAATCGAATTTCGTGGTACACATTCATCCAAGTTGCTTCCTGGTCAATATCGAAACAACACGAAGTCTACATCGATATTATTTAGTCCTTTTCACGACGTATATCGGTTTATTGTGAGCCGTCGACGCAAGTAGGAACCCACATTCGAATGCTAGTATAAATAGCCAAAGAATTGTATACACATACTCTGACCCCGTGCAAGCATAATTAAAATAAAGTAAATCGCTGCTGCAGAACAAGTCCATGACAATTTGATAATATAGTATACTACTAGTAGTACAACATACGTGGACTTGGACTTTTAATCACCATGCTTTTAATATATAGCTTTTAATCACGTAGTTCAGCCAAGCATGAATGTCACTTTCAACTGACTACTAATGTTATTTTATTTCTCCAACGTTCATGTGTGTTTATTTTACACACACGAGAAATGGCTGCACTCCTTCAAGCGCATCTTCTGCCAGCACCATTGCGCGCCGCGCCGCGCGGGAGGGGAATCCTTCACATACATAACTATACGTGACGTGCCACCCATCCGGGTTACTTTCACCCGAAAATTACCGACATATGGGACAGATTTTCGGGGGAAATCTCTAGACATGTGTCAGATTTCGAAAATAACTAAATGAAATTAGATTTTTTGGGCCAAATTGGGGCCCAAAATCTACAGATTTGTTTCATTCCTCCCGAAACAACGGCTTCCTAGACATCGTTTCACCAAATAGTGTCCTTTTCACCCCAATAACGTGCTGAGACCTCCGTCAACCCCCCGGGGCTACATGCAACTTAGCTAAATTATTTCACAATATGAAAAGGCAAGCAAATTGGAATTGGAAGATATTGATTCGTGAAAGATAGTAAAACGATTAATTAACAACTGCTAATCAACACTCGCTGCCCGGATTCTCTGCAATTATACAAACGTGTACACAAGAGCATATTCTCACACGCCGATGACCTATTTCATTTGTGGCATCCTTCAAATTTATAAACAGATGTGGCATTGAAGTTCAGATTTTTTTTAGACGACTAGAATTCAGGGGTAAATTTGGTATTAATTGTTTTCACAAATAGGCAACCCACAGCATATTCATTTCATTTTCATGTTTGTCTGCGCACATTTCGATTTCCGACACCTCATTTCTATTTTTAGAACAACCGTCCAGTACAGAAATGCTATATTACATTAACGTTTGCAGTCAAGCCATAACTATGGACCGAAAAAAATCAACGAAAAATTTGAGAAATGTGTTGACGCCGTTCACTCTCGACTGTCAACTGTGTTCTTCGATTAATAGTCTAAATCCTCCAATTACGGTCGTCTGTTTGCATATTTGTAACATACGTCTGCAGTTCAAGTTTAATTTTGTGCGACGTTTATAGATACACATTGTTAAAACCGGATAATACCAGTTCTTCCATGCAATTAATAAGCCTCGAAATGCCTCAGCGAAAGTCGTCTGTTTGTAATAATAGGCACGTCATATACTAGTACGTCATATCCGGGGAAGTGCAACTTCAATTCTGCAGACGACTATGTCACGTCCCATTTTGATATTCATTACTCAACCTTGTCTGCACGACATTGTCCAAAAACACAAGAAATACAACAAAATCAGAAAATCAATTCAAATCGCACATTTTCGACCATGTTTAATCCCCATGAAATCTGTAAAAGTACTTTCGAAAGATAAATACAACAGTTGTATTTATCTTTCGAAAGTACGTTTTGCAATATGTGATCAGAATATCAAATTAAGTTCAAAGTACACTATAAGACAAGGTGCGTTAATCATTGGCGACTGTATAATACCATGGTATTATACCTCCATGATAATACAAACGACTACTCCTATAATCTATGCAAATACAACGAACAACACATGGACGGGATGAATGATTTTACGAACACCTATCAAAACCAGGTGCATGAAGTTTCCCTAGTCATTTGCCCTTTCCCAATAAATGTGCTGGCGCTTTCTTGAAAAAGAATTATTTTTGCATGACTGCCATGAATATTTAACCCAATGGCAGGTCTACCATGAAATCAAACTTCTGATCCTGACCCAGGAATAAAACAAAACAAAATGAAAATCTCGACTATGATATATTCTTGTCATTATGGGAAGTTTCGCTACACCCATCGTCCGAATCGCACGCCGGGTTACACACTCCTCCGTGTGATGGCGAGGCGATGGCCGAATAGTAAACGTACCTTGGCTGGCGAACTTGACGCGCTGCACCAGAACGGATGTATTATGGGTAATTTCGATGGAACAGAGCGAACACATTGTTGGACCAGATTGGTCGCATTGTCGGTAATTTGTTCAACGCTTTTGTCTCAAGGGGATTGGAGTTAACGATGTAATCAGATACAAGTCGATATTCATAATGCATCGAAACAATAGTAAGAATTCGGGTAAGTGAGTGGTTTGCGTATTGAATATAGTGAAAGAATCTGAAAGCCATATTAGCCTCATTCACTGAACATATAATAACAGAATCAAATAACACTGGCCTAAGAAAGTTGTGTGTTATTTGTAAGCGGAGCTTTAAATACGTACATACGTACATTGAAAGGGAACACGTATACATACATGAGCTCGCTTACTCGGATTTGAGCCTCAAACACACCTTAAATATGAGACCCATGTCCGAGAGCACTTACTTTCAAATTCCCATTTTTCAATAAAGTTGGCTTTTGGCTATACACGTCTCGTGTATTTTTAGTTACTAGTAACTCTAATTGTAAATCTTATGAAACGTCGTTTTTCTGTTTCTTAATATCCGTAGGCGTTTCCTTATTTTACCTGCGCATTTTTGCATTTTCCAACTCAAAATAGACATTACGCAAATCAGACGATAGTTGCAGACTGTCCATTGTTATCAATGCTTTAGCAGACTGGGAAAACGACCGCATCCAACTTTTGCGTGGCTTTTTTCTCTGACTTTTATTTACTGTTCGAAGTGGTGACTTCAGAATCTATGATCAAATATCGTTACTACTAGTGTAGTAATTGGTCTTGATCATGATGAGAATTTAACAGTAATTGCCTGAAAATATCTTTTGCAATTTTTATCCAGAGAACACCTAGTGCAATGGGTGTTTTTGTAAGAAAATGTAATCTGCTAAAACTGTTCAGTCAGCTGTTCATATCTTATGTCATTTGTCACAACGAAGAATCTATTGTTAAGCTGCTAGTAACACTACGATAAAGACTTCCCGTTTTCGAAATTGTGAAATTCTTTCGTTTTTTTTTGGAGAAACAACCCTGAAAACCTGATTTTGACATGATAATTGGGAAATTCATATTAAGAATAATTCATAACGAAATGTATTCCCCTTGCACCCACAAATCATTTTCATAATTACAGATTACACAAGAATATTATACAGAAAAAAATAATTTCATATATTCTCTATATTTGTGCCTTTTATTTGAAATGAATTATGACTGAAAGAAACTGAATAAAATTACAAACTATGTAGTGTGTTCAACAACTCTTGTATGAACAATAACTTATGAATAATTATGATTTTATTAGGTAAAAATACTGTATCTTTCTGCATAAAACCGAAAAAAATTCAGAATGTCGAGAAATCTTTATCGCAGTGTTTAGCGTAGCTAGGTTTTAGCACAATAATGTAGACCATCGTTAAAGGGCGTCCTGTTCGATATGGGACTCATAGCAACGTATACAACACTTGTAAAATACATTGTTTATTTACATGAAATTCGAATACGACCACCGTGCTTAAAGTATAAACACAAAAATGCACA